TGTTTTCTATTCCAGGTATGAATTGCCAGGCATGAATTGCAAGTATTATTTCACTTAATACTTTAAATAGCTCCTTTTGCAGATGAAGTGTCCCAGGCATAGAGAGGTTGAGTAATTGCCCAAGGACACACAGCTGGTAAGCGTGGATTTCAGTTGGGAAGTCTAATTCTATACTTTGCTTTTTTATTCTTTTATTTTTTTAATGTTATATCTCATTTTATTCTTTTTTTTTAATTTTTTTTTATTGTTAGTTTCAGGTGTACAGAACAATGCAATAGTTACCCTTTTCACCCTCACAAAGTAACAATCCCCCTCCCCCCATCTACTGCCCTCTCACCCCCGATATCATGCTTATCTATTATAATTCCATTGAATCCGTTCCCGCTCTCTACTCCATGTCCCGAGACTATATGTATATATAATTATAGTTGACATACTATATTATTCAACATCAGCTTCAGAAATACAATGCGGTGGTCAGGCCTCTACATCGACTATGAAGTGGACTCCCCAACAGGACATGGGTCCATCTGGCCCCCTAAGAAATATTTACAACATTATTGATTATATTCCTCGGACTGTCTTTTTCTATCCCTGAGGCCGTATTACAATTACCAATTTGTATTGTCTCATCCCTTCCCCTCTCCTTCATCCCCACCCCCTCCCAACTAACAACCCTCAGTTCTTCCTCTGTGTCTCTGAGACTATCTCCATCCACTTCTCCCATCCATTCAGTTCCTTAGAATCCACGTATAAGTGAGATCATATGATATTTGTCTTTCTCTGACTGACTTATTTCACTTAGCATAATGTTCTCTAGTTCGATCCATATTGTTGCAAAGGGTACTATTTCCTTCTTCTTTATAGCTGAATAATACTCCATAGTGTAAATGTACCAAAGTTTCTTAATCCAGTCATCTATCGATGGGCATTTTGGTTGTTTCCAAGTCTTAGCTATTGTGAATAACGCCGCAATGAACATAGGGGTACATATATTTTTTCGGATTAATGTCTTGGGATTTTTTGGATAAATACCTAAGAGTGGGATTGCTGGGTCGTAAGGTAGTTCCATTTTCAGATTTTTGAGGTACCTCCATACTGATTTCCATAATGGCTGCACCAGTCTGCAGTCCCACCAGCAGTGCACCAGGGTTCCCTTTTCCCCACAGCCTCGCCAGCATTTGTTGTTTGTTGATTTATTGATGATAGCCATTCTGACCGGGGTGAGGTGGTATCTCATTGTGTTTTTAATTTGCATTTCCCTAATGATAAGTGATGTTGAACATTTTTTCATATGCCTGTTGGCCATCTGTAGGTCCTCTTTGGAGAAACGTCTCTTCATAGCCTCTGCCCATTTTTTAATTGGGTTGTTTTATACTTTGCTTTTTTAACCACCACACTGTAAGTCATAACCTCTTCCTGAGCTCCACTTCTCTATTTGACATTTCACCTTCATGTCAAATGGGCATCTCAAACTTTATATCCTAAAAAGAACTCTTGATTCCTACCCCATCCTGCCTCACTCTCAACCTCCTTCTCTTGCAGTCTTTCCAGTCTCATTAAATGGCATTGAAATTCACCTGGGTGCGCACACCAGCAGCCTGGTGCCTTTTCTCTCCCTCACATCTGCTCCATTAGCACTCCACCTTTACCACGTGTCTTGATTTTGACCACTTCTCCCCCTTCCATAGCTTCCAGCCCAGTCCAGACCACCACCTTCCTGACTAGATTATTGCAATAGCCTCCTAATTGATTTCCTTCTTCAGTTCTGTCCCCCTGTATATTCTGCACACAACAGCCAGAGATATTTTTTGTAAAATGTTATTGAAGTATAGATGTGTACCAAAATTGGACAACTTGATGAGTCTTCACAATGTGGCATGCCCATTTAACCAACACCCAGAACAAGAAACATGATGTTACCAGAGCGCCCAGAAGCCCCCGTGCTCCCTGCTAGCTACCATCCTCCCTCCCTGCCACTCAGAGCATCTCTATGCTGGCTTCTGATTCCACAGATTAATTTCTCTACTTTTTTAACTTTATATAAGTGAACTTTAATTACACAGTAGGTACACAGCATGAATATACCACAATTTATATCCATTTTACTTTGATGGATAGTTGGGTTTATAGTTTTGGCCTATTGTGAATAGTACCACCACCAACATTACTGTACATCTTCTGCTAAACATAAGAATTTGTTGGGTAGATACCTAGGAGTTGAATTGCTGAATCAAATGGTAAGTGTATTCAGCTTTAGTAGATATTTATTTCAAAATAATTTTCCAAAGTGGTTATAACTACCAGCATTATGTAAGAGTCCCAGTTGCTCATATTCTCACCAAGATTTGGTATTATTTGTCTTTTTCATAAACCTGTTCTGATGAGTGTGTAGTGATAACCTCATTGTGGTTTTAATTTGCATTTTTTTGGTGATGAACGGAATTGAGTACCTTTTCATGTTTATTGGCCATGTGGTTATCCTCCTTATTGAAGTGCCTGTTTTCCTGCCTTTTCTAATCGATTTGTAGGATTCTTTTTAGATTCTTTGTTACATGTTGGATGTATATATTGTAAATATCTTCTTCATTCTGTAGCTTGCCATTTCACTTACTTCATGGTATCTTCTAATGAACAAAATTTCTTAATTTAGTGTAGTATAAATTATTTTTTTTCTGTAGCAATTTTAGCAATTTAGTAATTTTCATGCCCTGTTTAAGTAATTTTTGCCTACCCCAATGGCCATGAAGATATTCTCCTGTGTTCTCTTCTAAAAGTTTATTGTTTTACCTATGACATTTAGATCTATAATCCATATGGAACTACTTTTGTGTATAGCATAAAATGTCAGAGTCAAGATACCTTTTTTTCTTTATGAATATCCAGTGACTCAACATCATTTTTTGAAAAGACCATCTTTTTCTCATTGTCAGAGAGGCAGTTTTCTTAAATCAGTTCATGAGATCCCCCTGCTCGAAATCCTTCAGTGGTTTCCCATTGCACTTAGAATAAATACACACCTGCTGCCATGGCTCCTTGCCGGGCCTCTGCTTACTTCTCAGCTTCCATCTCACTGTTCTTTCTCTCCCTCCACTGTGGACACCCGGGCCTCCTTCCAGTTCCTGGTCTTCCACATGAATTATTGTCTCAGGCCCTCGCACATGGGGTTCCTTCTGCCCAGAGTGCTCTTTCTTTACATCTTAGCCCGGATCACTCCTCATTTTACTCAAATGTCTGCTCATATGTCCTCTCCTTAGAAAAGACCACTAACCACCCCATATAACATTAAGAATGAATAATATATAAAAGTCCTCTGAACATGTATAATATTTTTTTTCAATTATAATTGGCATTCAGTATTTTATATTAGTTTCAGGTGTGCAGCATAGTAGTTAGACATTTATATCATTTATGAAGTGATCTCCCAATAAGTCTAGTACCCACCTGGCACCATACATAACTATTACAATACAATATTATTGACTGTATTCCTTGTGCTGTATTTTACATCCCCGTGAGTATTTTGTAACTACCAATTTGTACTTCCTAATCACTTCATCTTTTCACCCAGCTCCTAATCCCCCTCCAGTCTGGCAACCATCAGTTTGTTCTCTGTATCTGAGTCTGTTTCTGTTCTGTTTGTTTATTTATTTTGTTCTTTAGTCTCCACATATAAGTGAAATCACAGGATATTTGCCTTTCTCTGTCTGACTTATTTCACTTAGTATAGTATCCTCTAGGTCCATCCATGTTGTTGCAAATGGTAAGATTTCATTCTTTTTTATGGCTGAGTAATAGTCTACTGTATATATGTACCATCTCTTTATCTAGTCTATTGATAGGCACTTAGGTTGCTTCCCTATCTTGGCTATTGCAAATAACGCTGCAATGAACATAGGGGTGCATATATCTTTTTGAATTAGTGTTTTGGATTTCTTCGGATAAATACCCAGAAGTGGAATTGTTGGGTCATAAGTTAGGAAGCTCCATACAGTTTTCCATAGTAGCTGCACCAATTTGCAGTCCCACCAACAGTGCATAGGGGTTCCTTTTTCTCCACATCCTCACCAACACTTATTTGTTGATTTGTTAATATTGAAGATAGCTGTTCTGACAGGTGTGAGGTGATATCTCATTGTGGATTTAATTTGCATTTCTCTAATGATTAGTGATGTTGAGCATCTTTTCATATGTATGCGTAAGTCCTTTTTGGAGAAATGTCTACTCAGGTCCTCTGCCTATTTTTTAATTGGATTGTTTGGGGTTTTTTTATCTTAAGTTGTATGAGTTCTTTGTAAATTTTGAATATTAACCCCTTATCATATGTATCATTGGCGAATATCTTCTTCCATTCAGTAGGTTTTCTTTTCATTTTATTGATGGTTTCCATTGCTTTGCAAAAACTTTCTAGTTTGATGTAGTTCCATTTGTTTATTTTTTTCTTTTGTTTTCCTTGCCCAAGAAGATATATCAGAAAAAAATATTACTAAGAGCAATGTAAGAGATTTGATTCCGTATGTTTTCTAGGAGTTTTATGGTTTTGGGTCTTACATTTAAGTCTTTAATCCATTTTGAGTTTATTCTTATATATGGTGTAAGAAGTGGTCCAGTTTCATTTTTTTGCATGTACCTGTCCAGTTTTTCCAAAGGTGAAGTAACTTTCCCTGGTCACCCTGAGAGCCAGAAGCAGAGCTGCTTCCCAGCCCTGTGTACTCTCTGTTCCTCTGTGCTGCCTCCTTCTAGTATATAGTCACTGAGCTCTAACCAAGTACAGGGGCCAGTAATCCTGCTGTGTGGTTATATCTACACAGCCAAGCTTGCATATTCATGATGTAGCTTTGGGTTTCTTTTAGAAATATTTTTGCCATTAGCTAGTCAGCTTTACAACCTCCACCCCTCTGATACCTGGACACCTTGTTATTAGATATTCTACCCATGTGACGAGACATGCCTACAGGATAAGTTTTAACAAACAGTGGTTTTGTTCTGTCTCCTGATAGCTAGTGCTTCTTGGGATACGTTTCTCATGCTATGGAATTTCAAGCCACAAGCGAGAGCTTTCCGATACGTGGGTCACAAGGATGTTGTCACCAGCGTGCAGTTTTCTCCACTGGGAAACTTACTGGCATCGGCTTCACGAGACAGAACCGTCAGACTCTGGATTCCAGATAAGTAAGAGAAACAAAGAAACGACTGATACGCTCTGAATTTAGAAATGGGAAAGGATACTGGAACCCGGCCACTCCTAATACATTTCTGGGGGAGGCAAAACCCCTCCTTTACCTTCACACTTCATCTGAGTCACACACCAGGTAGCAAGGCAAACTAAACAAAGCACTTTTTCCTCATCTTTAACTCATAATTATGTCTTCTATTTGGAAACTATTTCTTTTTTTTTATTATTAGTTTCAGGTGTACAAAACAATGTAATAGACGTTTCACCCCTCACAAAGTGATAACCCTCTCCCCAATCTATTGCCCCTCTGACATTGTATACAGCTGTTACAGTTCCATTGACTCTATTCCCTATGCTGTACTCCATATCCTGTGACTATATATATATATATATATATATATATATATATATATNTATATATATATATATATATATATATATATATATATATATATATAATAGTTGACATACAGTATTATTCAGCTTCAGGTGTACAGTGCAGTGGTCAGGCATCTACACCGTCCATGAAGTGGTCTCCCTAACAAGACATGAGACCACCTGACACCCTACAAAATCTTTACAACATTATTAATTATATTCCCCAAACTGTCTTTTATATCCCCGTGGCAATATTATAGTTACCAATTTATGTTGTCTTATGCCTTCCCCTTCTTCCTCATCCCCACACCCTCCCAACTAGCAACCATCAGTTGTTCCTCTATATCTCTGAGACCATTTCTGTTTACTTTGCTCGTTCATTCAGTTTTTTAGATTCCACATATAAGTGAGATCATATGGTATTTGTCTTTCTCTGACTGACTTATTTCACTTAACATAATAGTCTCTAGGTCCATCCATATTGTTGCAAATGGTAAGATTTCATTCTTCTTTATAGCGGAGTAATACTTGTTGTATAAATGTACCATAGTTTCTTAATCCAGTCGTCTACTGATGAAAACTATTTCTAACCATGGAAATATACTTAATGTGTATTAATTTTTTGTGGGGGGTGGTGGTAGTTATCAATCCCTTTGTAAATCTGATGTAAGCTTCAGATTGTCTCCCAAGAGAGATACACATCAGCAGTATAACCAAAATTTTACAGTTTATTAACTTCCTAAAGCCCATTCATGGATCTTTAGGGGCCTTTGGATCCCTACTAAAAACTCCTGTGTCAAACCATGTCATTCATTATTGGGTTCCAGAGTTTTCTTAAAATTTCTGACAAAAGTATGAATCATTGCATTTGTTTTAAGGTCCTATCCAATTATAACAAATCTGTCTATAAGAGGCTTTTCAAACCAAAGCTGAAAGCCTGTCATTTTAAGCAATTAGTGAGCCATGCATTTTAAAAGCACATTTAAACTCTTAATTATGTAAATTTTCAAACAAACTTTAAAAGAGAATGAGTAGAGTAGCACCAAGACTCCCCACCCCATACCCATCAACCAGCTTCAGCAGGAATCAGTATCTTGTCAGTCTCGTCGTATCTCTTCCCATCTCCTCCCTTTTTTAGCTGGAGTATTTTTAGAACAGATCCCATACATCATATCACATCATTTCTCCCTGCAGATATTTTAGAGAATAAGAATTTGTGCATTTCCCATGACTCTTGTGGCAGGATTTGATTTGTGGTATGAGGCCGAACAGGCTCGGGCACTCCCAAGTGTAAGAGAGTTCATGGGGCATCTCCCTGCCAGTGGGCACTTTTTTTTGTCTGCCACCACCCAAGAGAAACTCCCTGCTGAGAAATCCAAAAGTTATCCTGATAGCAAAAACGGTTGAAGAGAAGTAACATGTTATAATGACACTGTTGATGGGCAATATAGAGGAGAATTGTAAGGGAGAGAGACTGGTTTGGGGTCCAAAAGGGAAAGCATTTTCTAAAACCTTTGATTTTGGGAATTAAGGACCAGCACAACACAGCCTCAGTCCCCCATTACTAATTCAAAGAAATCTCAGTGAACAAGCTATACAAAGGTGCATGAGCCAAAAGCACACTGCATCATTAGTTGTACTGGCTAATCTAAGTACAAAATTAAGCTTGTGTAGATCTCTCTAGTGCCCCCTTCTAAATCATATCATAGGGGCCAGGGAAAGAGTGGATATGACAGTGGGAAGAAACTGATGTGTCAGTTATCTATTGCTGCGTAATAATCTTCAAAACAATACAGCTTAATACAATAACTATCGTTTTTCACAATTGCGTGGGTTGTCCGGATGACTCTCCTGCCCCATTGATGTTGGCTGTTACTGATGCGGCTTCATGAAGCAGGCATCAGGGATGGTGGGCCCCACACCTCGCTCTCATGCCTAGGGCCTTGGCGCCAGCTCCTGCTGAGACACCGTGGTCCTCCATATGCCCTCCCTCCAGCAGGATGGGGTTTCCTGGCTTCATGGCACACTGGCTCTAGGATTGCAAAAGCAGAAGCTGCTAGATCTTTTACGGGCCAGGCCTGAGAGTTACCTCATTCTGTTGGTCAGAGTGACTCACAGCACCAGCCCAGATTCACAGGGAGGAAAGGGTGGCATATTGTGCCTCCTGTGGGGAGGAGTGGCATGTGTACAGGGCTGAGAGGAACTGTGGACAGCCAGAGTGGCAGGCAAATACCCAGCTGGTGCCTGGAAGGCAGGTCTGACCTGGAATTGGTCTTGGTAGACAGTCGGGAGTATTTGGGCAGAAGGGACAGGTAGGGGCGTGGGAGGCAGAGCACTTTCATTAAGGCAAGGTGAGAACCTAGAAACCAGTTAAGCAACAGCACAACAAACACATCGCTCCTCTCTGGGTTTTGTACACGTTTCCTGTTGAGACCGGATCCAGTGGTTAGACTAGCCTGCAGCCGAAAGGAGGGCCTTTCTGAGAGAAGGCAAACAAGAGCCTGCTGGCATGGGCAGCGTGGGGCCAGGGGTCAGGGCAGATGTGGGTGACGGGGCCTGTCTCTCGACTTCCTGGTCGCAGTGGGTGCCAAGGCTTTTCTTTGTTTTCTCCAGGCCTTATCTTGAATTCAGGCCAAAATGTGCTCTGACTTTTACTCACAGAACTTTCCGTTGAAACCTCACTGAACTAGTCCCTGAATTTTCCCTCCTAATTTTTTTTTCTGATTTTATAATAGTTATTCCTGGTGTAATATCATACATAAGGTGATAGAGATTTATGATAGTCACCTTTGTCTTCTGTAGGCCACCGGAAGGGTAGCCAGGAGGGATCTAAGAGCCTTTAACTATCGACTCTTCCCAGTGGAATTCAATGAAATGTATTGAGCTCTTTTTACATGCTAGACATGGTGCTAGATGCTGGTCTTATAGAGATGAATAAATCATCATTCCTGTGCTCAAAAACCTTCCTGCTTACTAGGAAAGAAACAGGCCTATTAAACAAAAAAGTTCTGCATAATGTAATAAGCAAAATAGATGTAGCAGGTAGGGAGCATTTAAGCCTGTCTCGGTCGGTGGAGGAGGTCTGGGACTGGGGGAAGTAGTTCCGGCAGAGAAAGTGCTGAGTACAAAGCCTGAGGTGTGTGCGTAGCACTGTGACTGTTCTCAGAGCACAAAGTCCAGTGCAGTGGCACGAACCTCATCAAAGAGCTTGAATGTTATTGGACCGTTTTTTGGAGGGCAGCCAGCGACACATTTACGCTGGGATGTACGTGCTTGGGGTTACACTTTTAGCAAGGTATTAAACACAGTTATGTAGGTGACTGGAGGGAGTAAAAGATTAGAGCAGGGAGACCAGCTAAGAGGCTTTTGCAGTAATCAACGTAAGGATATTTAGGGTATATTTACCTCAGTGTAAGCGCGACTGGGATAGAAAGAAGAGGAGGGGTTTAGAAGATATTTAGGCCGTGATGACAGCGATATCAGTATCACTAAATAGGTGTGTTGACCTACTGGGTGTGGGGGGAGAGACAGTGGGAGCTGATGAGTGGGACTTTCCAGTTGTCTGTAAATTCACTTGCCTGATACTTTTCAAGCCGTGATGGCGATTTTTCTCATAAGGTATCACCTGTATAAATACAACTTTTTAAATGGAAAAATTTCAAAGTCCAGATGTAGTATAAAGTGCAAGTGCCTCTGGAACTTGGCAGTTCTGACACAAAGTACTGTGTCTCAAATGTCACCTTTTAACTCCAGAGCTATCTACTAGCCCGCCCCCAACTATTTTAACATTTATTTTCTTCTGCTTCTCCTTAAATGCCACGTATTATTTCCTCCATATGTTTTTCCTATTCTCTTTTCCTCACCCTATTCAAGAAAGAAAAATGCATCTGAAATTTCAGGGTGTCTAGAACGGAAGTCCTATATTATTGTCATTTCTCCTTTGTTTTGTCGTGAGTGTGAGATTGGTTCTAGGAGTGAGCAAAGCCTTAGATATACCCTGGGAGTCCCAGTTCTCATTACTGGTGGGTGGAAACACAGGTGGAAACTGAAAAGTCAGGGCACTTAGGGACATTCTGTATAATGACCCCAATTTGAAAACATTGCTTTGGAGCCATTCATTTAATTAACCTTAGCTTTTCTAGGTTGCAGGTTCTTTGTATATTGCTATTTCTAGAGAAACAACAGGAACTTAAAATGCATGACGAGATTTGTTCAAAATATCATTTCCCTAGCTTCTAATTAAAACAAAAACAGCAATACATTTCATGGTGGGGACCACCAGTCTTTCTTATTAAGTATCAGTTATGACTTTAGTAAAACCACCTTGAAAGAGCATTGATAATGAGTGTAGCACAACACCTTTTCACAGTTTTGTTAGTTTTACAAGAGTCCAGCTATTGTATACATTTCAAAGTGTGTATATACTGATTAGATGTTGATTAGAAGTAAATCAACTGTGATCAATATTAAACTGTTTATTTCTAGAAGAGGGAAATCCTCTGAATTTAAAGCGCATACAGCTCCAGTTCGAAGTGTGGACTTTTCAGCTGATGGCCAGTTTCTAGCTACAGCTTCTGAAGACAAATCCATCAAAGTATGGAACATGTATCGCCAGCGCTTCTTCTACTCCTTGTACCGACATACACACTGGGTACGCTGTGCCAAGTAAGTGCAAACGGTTTCATGATAAGATTTCCACATTTTCTCTACCGTAGGCATGTCTGCACCCAACTCCCAGGAAAGGGGGTTGAGAGCAAGTTTGTTCCTTCCTCCCTTCCTTCCTGCTTTCCTCGCTTCCTTCCTTCCATTTACTCATCGATTCATTCAGTAAATATTTATTTTGTGCCTGGGAAAACAACAGTGATGGGAACAATGGTAAACAAAACAATCGGAAATCCCTGCTTCCATGAAGCTTACATTCTAGAGAAGGGAGGCAGTAGACAAACAGGAAAATGGATGTGGTAGGTTAGATGGTGGTAAGTAAGTGTTAGGGAAAAACAGCTGGATTAGAAGGGGCTGCAGTTTTAAACAGGGCATTAAGTGATTGCCTCACAAAGAGGGTGGCCTTTGAGCAGAGACCTAAAGGAAGGGAGGGAGTGAGGCTTGAAGATATTTGGGAAAGGACTGTCCTGGATAGAGGAAACAAGTGCAAAAGCCCAGAGGTTGGAGCCTGGTGGCAATTGAGGACAAGCAAGGAGGCTGGTGGGAGCAGAGCGTGGGGAGAGAGTGGGAAAGCCCAGAGGGAGACCGGGGCCAGGTCAGGGGCCACTCTGACGAACATCCCGAATGAGATGCCATTGGAGCATGGTCATCTCTCTGACTTCCACTTTAATGGGATCACTTGGACTGCTGTGTGGACAAGTCAGGGCTGAAGCAGGGAGGTGGCGTTAGGCTTTGCAGTAATTCCCATCCTGGCTGGGACCCTCCCGGGTTGTGGCACTGGAGATTTTGAGAAGTGGCTGAATTCTTGATATAGTAGTTTGAAGTTACAACCAACAATACTAGCTATCATGTGGGATGTGACAGAGAAAGAGAGGAACCAAGAGTGATGCCATAATCTTGGCAACACTCTGTTGGGACAATGCTGTTGTAGGTGTGACTATCAGCTAACAGCTATGAAGCCCTTTCCATTGCTAAGATACTCAGCTGAAGTATATACTTCCAGTGTGTGTCTCATTTCCTCATCAGAACCACCCGGGAGGGAAGGCCTGGTGTTTTGTTTTCCCCACTTTGCAGATGAGGAGACTGAGTTTCAGAGTTAAAGTTAAACTCAGAAATCAAAGAAATGCTTTTTGTCTTCCAAGGCGGTTCATTGGCTGATGTGTTTGACAAGCTTGGAGTAGGAAGGGGGAAGACTAGAACCAGGGGCTCTAGTGCTCTGAGGTCTCTCTCCAGGCCTCTCACACGCCAGCTCCATTCTTTCAAACCCCCTGCGGCTGAGGTCGCTGCCTGCTCTAGGCTGAAGCCCCACAGCTTTGTGAGTGGCCAGGAGAAGCTTCTCCCGGTTCCCGTTAGAGAAGTTCCAGGAAGTGACTGTCAGCTCAGGCTTCTGCTCGGCAGTGAGACAGCGTGGTTGTCTCCATTTAGCCAGGCACCTGACGAGGCCAGTTACCCTGACCTGGGAGGAGGGGTCCTACCAACCGTAGGTCCTGGTGCTGGGCAGACGGGACAGTTCTCACAAGAAAGGGCCTGGTGCAGACATGGTTACTGGGGAGAAACAACCCTATAGCCAGCCGTTGGCTTTGTGCCCACTGTATGAAACATGGCCCATGACCCCAACTGGAAGGGGTTAGAAGAGGATTATGAGCCCCGTAGAGTCCACACTCTGATCCCTTGTTATGCTCGCTGTGAGACATTATTGCTCAGGAGATGTTGATTATAATCTATGGTAATGAGGCTAAGAAGAATAAAAAAAGACAAACAGAAGGTTGTACTTTCAGTCAATAGTTTTTTTTTCTTTTAAAGGTATCAGCTACTTTTTGCTCTGGCCATCTCAGTAGTATTTCTATATATGCCACAGAGCTGCGTGGTTAAGAACATGGACCTGGGACCTAAATATATAGGTGAATATCCCAGCCTCACTGCTTACCAGCTGTGTGACCTTTGGGAAAGTTACCTAACTTCCCAGTGCCTTCATTTTCTTACCTATAAAATTAGGATGCTGATGATAATAGTTACCTGCCACATAGGTTGTCATGGTATTTAAATAAGCAAATATACATATAGCACATATGCACATAGTAATCACCAGATAAACTTTAGCCATGATCCTCATCACCATCATTAGACATTTCATTCTTATTTAATTTTTAAAGATACTGTGTAACTTGAATTGATTATTTTTTTTCCACCTAAGGAGGTGGCATGTGTGGTGGTCCCAAGAGGCTGTCAAATAATTTATTTGTTTTATAATAATAAATACATTGTTATTTATATATCAATGATGCTATACATAATAAGAGGAGGCAGAGATCTATCATCTAGTAGATCAGGCTCAGAACAGATACGTGACTGGGCCGGTGCTGGAAAGAGTTATTTAACTCCCACTGTGGACCAATTTTGAACATGTTTGGCAAAGAAACTTATTTTTATTGTCTTCGTCAGGGAGCTCAACACAGCAAAAACACTGAATATTAATTTAATCAAGACAGAATGCTTCATGTACACACTCTGATAAATAGATAGGTAGATAGATAGCTATTGTTTGTTCTATATGCCTCTATATTCTTCCAAAACGAATTTAAGGTGGGTTGTAATAATTGTCATACCTGTGTATATATCCGTCACTGAAGGGATTGGGAAGACAAGTTCTACCTAGAGCCATGCAACCTTTGTTAGAGCAAACTGGACATGGTGTTTAGCCTGTTTCCTGCAGCTGCAGTATTAATGGAATGATGGTGGCTGACACATTTTCATTTTCTAACAAGAAGGAGTCCTATCAAATTGTTCAGATAAGAGAAAAATTTTCCTGAAGTAAATTTTAGGAGGTACTTTATTTCTTGCCCTTGTATTGAATCATCTATCTAGAATGTATATGTAAAAAAAAATGGTAGTGATAACATAGGCCAGAAGAATTTATGAAAGGTTGCAAAGTCCCCAATAAAGTGAAATTTTGGTCTTCAGAATAGTCCTTTAGTAAGCATAGCCCCCACCCTGTACCATGTATCTGAGCTATGTGTACAGCTGAAAGACACAGTGCTCGTATTAGCCTCAAGAAGCTTTTATAGTTCAATGAGAAAAAACATACGAAAATAATTATGATAGCATGTACTCTGGGAAATGATACACAAGATGATAAGGGAGTGTGTGAATGGGGCATTGAGCTAGACGTGTGGGAGGAAGAGTCAAGGAAGACATTCCAGGCCCAGAACTGAGGGAAGCACAGGGGAAGAGGACGCAGCAGAGACTTGTCGGATGGGGAGTAGGTGGCAAACCGTTCATGGAGGGAATCAACAGGAATAAGCACTGTGGCCCTAGAGTTCACTGTGTGCTTTGGGAACATTACCTATTTAGCTGTGGCCAGTCACAGGAAGTAAAGTGGGACAAGACGGGGAGGAGGTGAGGCAGGCTCAAGGTCCTGGATGATATGAAAAGACTGTAGGCTTCGTCGTACAGGTAATAATACGTAAGACAGAGGGCTTGGAATTGGGAAGACACATGATCATTTCAGAGCCCTTCCTTACTAACTAGTCTATTTACCAACATGACTTTGCAGTTAGAGGGTTGGCGTGAGATAGTCCAGGATTCGTATGCCCACCTGCACCACCTTGTTACCGTTGGCAAGTTAGTTCACGTCCCTCAGTCGCTTTGGGAAGTAAGGCTTCTCAAAGTGGACTGTTGTGAGAATGAGAAATACAAGTTGACTGTGTCTGGGATTGAGTGATGCCTTAAGACTGCCATTCCTCCAGCTGGGCATCATTTGTTAGGGAGAAACTTGGGAATTAGGAAAGGGCCACTGAAAATGTTCTCCCTTATCAATTCACAAGAAGAAAGCAATGGCGGCACTCGGCACTTCTGTCTGTCTAGCATCGTTCCCCATTTGATGGTAACGGTGCCCAAGCTTTCCCTGAGGAACCAGCCCCCCCCCCCCGTAGGTTACCTATGTGCTGCAGTGGCCCTATCTCCAGTACCAGCAGAGGGCATTCTGCTCAGGCTTGCCCCCTGGAACAGAGCGTCTCCCTCCCATAGGAGTTAGTGAGTCTTGGTGGAACCTCAGGCCTTTCCTCTGGGATTGCTACCTTTACGCTTATTTAAGCCTGTAGCTGCTGAGGGACACTGAAGGCAAAGAACCGACCTAAGAATGATGTTGATGCTGAGAAGAGCAGATGTGAAATGAAGACGAAATGAATTGCTGTAATTACAGCCACACCTGGAATTAGTGGGGGGTTGGGTAGTGGGGGAGGCAGCAGGGCGGGAGAGATGGGAGCCTTGAAAATTTTTTGTTTGCTTTTTTTAAGGCACTTTCCATAGGAACTGATAGTGGAGCAGTTTTGAATAAGTGGGAGTTACCCTCGCATCCAGTCTTGTGCACTCAAGACACCTGTTTTATCTCCATCCCAACACCACTGCCTGAATTTTTAGCATCATTGGCCCTTGTAAAGAGTTTTGCAATAATCTAAATTTTTTCAGTGACTACTGATTTGCCTTCATTCCATCTTCCCCTCACTGCCCTACTGCCTCCAAAGAGACCTTTGTGAAATGCAAATGTGGCCATGCTGCGCCTCAACCTAAAAGCACTCAGACTCCTTACCTGGCATGTCTGCTCTCACTTCCTGTTACAGCCTCCCCTTTGTCTCTTTAAACATTCACCTTGTTGCAGCTACACAAGGTCCCCAAGCGTGTGAGGCTCTGTTATGATCTGTGCCGTTCTACATGCTGCCTGCCATGTCCCCCATTCCACCCTTCTTCCGTCACGACGCTGCTCTTCACGTCCGCCTCCAAGAAATGTTTCCTACTTCCCCAGACCTAGCTTCTTATGATTCCTTTAGGCTACCACATTGTCCGGTTTGTGAGGTCTGTCAGTTTAGACCTCTCTTTCCCAGTAGACTTTGAATTACAGATAATTTATTCATGTTGTGCTCTTGCCAGACACTGTTCTAAATTCTGTAGATACCACAGAAATCAAAACAGACAAAGTTCCCACTCCCATGGAGCTCCTACCAAAG